ATTATTATTATTATTATTATTACCGGCGTCCGTTGTGTAGCGGTTAGGTGCTTCACTGTCGTAGCAGGTGACACGAGTTTTCCTGAGCTTCATTCATAATAAACACATGCTTGCTGCAATTTCGTTGCAATCCTGTGTCATTCAAATCAACTCATTTGCATAAGCAGTAAGTGACTGGCAGAAAGTGTTGTTTATTTTTATATAGCACTTGGGGAAAACAGCATGCAGTGTATGTTGTTGTGGGTTGTGTGTTGTTTTGTCCAGTTGTAAGGTATTGTGTGCTGTGTTCTGTTTTGAGTAGTTGTATGTTATTGTGTGTAGTTGTGTGTAGTTGTGTGTTGATGTGTGTTGTTGTGTGTAGCTGTGTTGTTGTACCACAAAACTGGACGGCCTGTTGACGAAATTAGCACATCCAACCCTATGGAAGATTATTCTGACGCCACTTGCAAATGCTCTCAACTCCCCGGCCCCAAGTGGTCCTCTTGTTCCGTACTTCTCATTTCTTGTCTTTTGATTCATAAACCTCGATTAAAATTATAACCCCCCCCCCCGCCCCTCCCACTCAGCATCCCCCTTTTCCACTGGCGGGTTGAGGCGTAATGAGATGCATGTCGCGCCGGTCAGTGGTAGATCTATTGTCAACTCTTCCCATCCTCCCCCTCCCCGTCTGCCCTGGCGAAATAACGAACATGAATAATTAGGATTAAACTTACTTGAACCTCCCAGTGTGATAACCCCAGCTACACTTACTTTGCCAAATAATGTTTTGCCTGAATTCCTTCAGGCTAACTTTCCCTTTACTCCTCACTTCTACAAGTACATGTATTTTGCTATCGAAATGACACTTGATGTGCATCTAGAAGGATGCTTATAATATTAATATATCTGAGTGCTATTTCACAAGCGCTTAAGTTTTGTGAAAATCTAGAATGTATCTCTTTGATTTAAAATCATAGTTGACTTGAGCTTAATTTTGAAAGAATTAAAAGATTCAGATTTGTTCTCTTTCACATTGCCATTCCTGAAATGCAAATACCATTTCACCATTTGTTTTAAGTTTAATTGACGGAAATACTAATTTCTTTTTGTCAGCTACTGCTGTCCTCTAAACGACAGTCGCTGCTTCAACAGGCAAGCAAGGCTACCCAAAGCTAAGGCAGCCATCTGTTCAATCGGACAGGCTAACAGAGAGGGTTCGAAACGTTGACTGCGACAAAACTTGCAAGAGTTAATGTCCTTGTTAATGACGTCATGGATTGAGCCTCTCGTGCATCACTAATGACTTTTTTCCCGGAGTCGGCAGTTTCTTGCACTTAAACAAGAATGTCGGAATATAAACTGGTTCATATGATGGATCACTCTAAACCTGCCGGTCAACTTCCCCCTCAAGAGCGACTACTTACATGAAGCTCAAGTTGGTGTGTCAGGCTCAAGAGAACTTGTCAAGGCAAGGAAAGGTCGTGAAGCTGAAAGAGACAACGTTTCCAACTGTCTCGCCCTTAACAACTTGAATATAGTGCTAGATTTTGGCGTGACTGTCGACACTACCGACATTATGTCTGATTCTGAACAGCAGAGTTTGTACAGAGAATCCTTGCCCTCAGCATGGCATGACGAGAGTGTTGATAAAGACGTTGGAGCAGCGTTGTTTTCGAAGAAACCTTTTTGGTCTATTAACGATTCAGACGGACCTTCAGAGAAAGAAGGCTGCCGAATACGTTGGAGTGAGAAGCAACGCCCTACAAACAGCTATAAATCAGTCTATTACACGAAGAGATCGACAGCTTGTAGGAGTCGTTCAGAGGAAAGTATCAGTGTAGCCTTGAGTGATGCAGAAGGCATATCCCTGACAACGACAAACGCCACTATTCAAACTGCAGGTGGAAACTTTTCTCAAAAGATTAGACACCAGAACAGTACAGGAACATACGGCGGTGTCGATGAAGAGAGAAACGTCCGGATTATTGCTGAACAAATCAGATACAACGTCTTTGGAGATAATGAGTGTACCACAAAAGCCACAACAATCGGCGCTGGTCAATTAGATAGTAGCAAAGCCGCATTTGGAGTTAGCAGTTTCTCAGATAACATCATAGACACTGGATGTCGGACAAAGATTCAGCAAAGCCGTTCCCACAACACATTATGCAGTGTAGTAAACTCAGTGACCGATTCATTAGGACGCCTTGGCTGTGTAGGAAGTGATGGGAGGGGGCAAAGTAGAACAACGCGGGATGGTTCGCTACATTATGTTGAACAACAAGGTGTAAAGACAAAAGGTATTCTGACCGCAAGACAGGAATTCGAAGAATGTCCCCATTTTGGCATTAATAAGCCGATATCTCAAACAGAAATAACCCAAGGTAGTCACACAAATCATGGTGGAAACTACATGGCGGGCGAAGGAAAGGACATCAGTAAACATAATAATGATGGTAAGGTACTTCAGGGCATCCCACCTAACTCCATGATACGCGTTGATGCTCTGTGCAATACAGGCAATTCCGATGGCATAGATGAGCCTTATACAGGTGAAACTGATTCTGTAAGTCCTGACAAACTACTTTATCAGAACAGCAAGCTGGTTGACCCCTTGACCCTGACGCTAGCGAGCCATGACTTGGTCTTACCTGATGAACTAGCCTCTGGCGACCCTCCGCGCACAGCAGATGTCAACAGGGTTGACGAAGACATCGTCCATACCCGGGGACACAACATGACTATCCCGAGAACTTGTCAGTGTTCAGATGGAGACATCATCAGACATTCCCACGGACACGACATTACGAATCAAGGAAACTACCAGGGTCCGAACTGTGAGATGCACCAGTGGGGAGACAGATGTCGTCATGACGTCACAGAGTTCTGTTACACCGTGGCCAAGGGGATGTGGTATGTGGCCTCGTCACGTCCGGTTTCAGGGGCATGCACGATGAAGGAGAATGGCGAGGAGGAGGAGGAGGAGGAGGAGGAGGAGGAGGAGGAGGAGGAGGATGAAGAGGAGGATGAAGAGGAGGAGGAAGAGGGAAAGGACGGGGGAGAGGAGGGAGAGGAGGAGGAGAAAGAGGAGAAGCCTGGAGGAGGTGGTCCTGATTTGGAAGTGGTGGGGACAGTGGTCATCGAAAATCTGAGACCTCCAGTGACTGGAACCGTCTTTGTCCGGTCTTCTACTCGTCCATCTAGCGATTGGGAGAGCGAGTAAGTGAGTGAGAGAGTGGTTGAGTGAATGAATGAGTGAATGCAAGTGTGAGTGAGTGAGTGAACTGTTTTACTCCGCTTTCTACTCGCCCATCGGGCGATTGGAGAGTGAATGAGTGAGTGAGTGATAAAAAGATAAATGAGTGAGTGAGTGTGTGAGTGAGTGAGGGAGTGAGTGAGTGAGGAGTGTGTGTGTGTGTGTGTGTGTGTGTGTGTGTGTGTGTGTGTGTGTGTGTGTGTGTGAGTGTGTGAGTGAGTGAGTGTGTGAGTGAATGACTGAGAGAGTGTGTATATACGTGAGTTTTTTCTGTGTGTGAGTGTTTTCGTGTTTTGGATCTAGTTTTATCGTTTATGTTTTATATTCGTCTGACTCTCAATTTGTACAGCAATATTCTAATTTTGTATGCTTATAAATAATACTTCTTTCGGATCTCTCTGACTGTCCCTGTCTCTGTCTCTGTCATTCTCTCTCCCCTTCTCTCTCTCTCTCTCCCTCTCTCTCTCTCCCTGTTTGGCTCCCCCTTCTCTCTCTCTCTCTTTCTCTCCATGCCCCCCCTCGACTCTTTCTGTATCTTTCTATGTATCTCTTTTGATCCCACTCCTCCCCCTCCTACCCATGCACGAATCCCACACCTATTGCCCAAACCCCACCGCCATCACCCTCTCTCCACCATAAACTCTTACACCTCTTCCCTCTCTGCATCACCAAAACCCCACACCTCCCTCCCCCTTCCCATAATCGAACCCGACACCCCCTCTTGCCCTTCTAGCGAATATCTGTCTCTGTTCTTCTTAAGATCGAAATCCTGCTCTTACGGGCTTTTGTTTTACTACCACTATTGTATCCTCAGGCATGGACAAATTATGATTAAGATAAAAGACAAAAAATACGTTTCTATACTTTTCACGTTTCTCAAGATGTTGTCTTTTTGTCTCTATTTTATTGCTCTTGATACTGTTGGCCTAAGTATGATTTTGTTATCAAAGACTCAGACTTCCACGTAAGTTGGTATCATGTTAAATATCTGGCGGCTCGGGTTCGAATCCCAGACTGGGCATTCTTGAACTTGGGTCGTTTTTGAGGAGTTTTTAAAGCTCTAAACCTACTTGGCTCGATCGTATCGGAGACACATTTTGAACTCCCTCATTTTAAATAACCTAATAGTGTTGATGGGGGCTCTTGATCAAACTCACACATTTGCATTGTATTCTATGTGTTCTCTGAACTGCCTCGGCCGGCATCTATGATGTAGCGGTAAGGCACTTCGCCGTCGCACACAAGAAGGAGATCCGAGTTCGATTCCACAGTAGGAGGAAATTTGTATCCGGCAGAAAAATGCCGATTTCTTCGATTTCATTATTTTGACGAGCGACTGATTTCCCCACCAATGCCACAGAAATGGTATTTCAAGACAGAGTTGAATAAGCCGAACAATAGATCAAAACGGACAAAGAATAGAAGTAAATGTGACGCAGCGTGGTGGAATCAGGCTCTCGTCAAAATAATCAAAGTGAAGAAACATGCATTTTTCCGCAGGTTTGTGAATTTTTATCAAATTTTTGTTTTTTGGCTCTACACCTTTCATGCTCATTAAAAAACTCATTTCTGTGTGGATTTTTCTGAAAAACGTTGATTAAAGGCACAAAAGTGTAAATTTTCAGTTACTACGGACTCTTAAGCTAAAGAAATAATTAATCTTTGGCGGCCATTTTCTCATAAATTTTACCACTGAAAACAGGTGACCCCCACCTCCTTCATTTGCAAATATCTCGACTTGTATTCAAGATAAATTGATATTTTTTTCATCCAAATAAAGCAAGTGAACAAGCTTTAAGATGACACCAATAACTCCCCATGCCCAAAAAATTGACGAGAGCCTGATTCCACCACGATGCCTCACAAATACTTATGAGAAATTTGACGTAGAAATTTTGAAGTTCACATGTCAAACTTTTTCGAATGCAATTCTTAGAATATCTTGATGACGACTCCAAATAATCTAACGATTTTGATAGAGCAGATAGTTGAGATACAACACCAAAATGGTTTCTGACCTCATGGTCTTAGTAACTCGAAACTGCTAAAAATCTCAGATAGAACTTTGTTCTAATGTAGGGAAATAGTAAATACCACATGTGGCACAACGCCGTGGAATCAGGCGCTCGTCAATTTTTTTAGCATATGGGGCTATAGGTATCGTTTTAAACCCTGTTCATGTGTCTTCATTTTGGTGAAAAAGATCAATCTATGTTGAAATAAAGTCGAGATATATGCGACTGAAGGAGGTGAGGGTCTCCTGGTTTCAGAGGTAAAATTAGCGATAAAATGGCCGCTAAAGTTTGATATTTTTCATAGAGTTCTTGAAACTGAAATTTCACAGTTAGTGTGCCTCTAATCAGTGTTGTTCAGTAAAATCCACACAGAAATGTGTTGTTGAATGGACTTAAAAGGTGTTCAGCCCCCCCCCCCCAAAAAAAAAGAATATTAGAAAAAATAAATAGCCCAACGGCAAGAAATATGCAAAAGTTCTTTGATTTCATTATTTTGCCGAGCGCCTGATTTCACCACGTTGTTTCACATATTTCTCGCTTGGCATGAAGACATTGTTGATGCAGTTCCCTTTAAATGCAGGCGTTTTTTACGCTCCCATAAGCATAAATTAGATCATATTAGGAGGAGATTTCAACTCTGACAGGCCTGTCAGGGTCAATCCGAGCTGAGATGGAAACAATGCCCCAAGAGAACAAAAAACAAAAACAACAACAACCACAACAACACACACACACACACACACACACACACACACACACACACACACACACACAATTAAAAAAAAAACCCACAACAAAACAACAAACCAAAAAACGAGACTCCATAAAGGTTTTTCTACTCCACAAGGAAACGCGGGTCTTCTGCGTGCAACAGTGAGTGATCTCTTTGACTTTCGAGTCTCATTTTCTCTAACTCATATCAAGAGCAGAGAATTCAGGACAAAATGCCGACAAGACAGAAATGCAGCAATGGAGTTCAGATACGTTTTCAAATTTTGGATGCGAATAATTATGTGCGTCAGGTTTATTTGAAAGAGTTGCACAATAACGAAAGAGATAATGGTCCAATTTATAAAAAAATCAGAGATAAATCCCAAATGAATTTAAAATGTTGAGAACACCGATATTGCCAATCTGGCTGTACGGGAGTAAAGATAAGGACACTCAACACCAAATTATGTATCACAGCGCGGAAGAATCAGGCGCTCGTCAATTTTTTGAGCGTGTAGACTTATTGTATCTTCTTAAACTTTAAGCTTGTTTATTTAATTTTGTCTTGCTTTATATAAAATAAATCACCCATTTATCATGAACAGAGGACGAGTTATTTGCGATTATAGGAGGTGGGGGTCACCTTGTGTCAGGGCTAAAACTTAACGTGTCCTTTGGAACTATTAGTTTACATTTTTGTGCCTTCCATAAATCATTTCATAAAATGTACACAGAAATGTGTTTATGAGCGTAAAAAAAGCACAGCTATTTTAAAAATATCGATTAAAATAACCCAAATAGGCGTGAAAATGTTGGTTTCTTCGAATTGATTATAATTTCGATAAGCTCCTGATTTTACCACAATGGCATACATAGAATGTCTCATGTAATTGGGGGCTGGAGACAACCAGCTTGACACACACACACACACACACACACACACACACACACACACACAACCCCCCCCCCCCATCTGATTATAAAAGTAATAGATTTAAAGAGTCAAACTTCTAATGCCAAAGGAGAGAAGAGTGGACAGATCTACAAAGTCATACGGAGGGGTAAAAGGGTGGTAAGTCCCATTAATCCTACAACGACCAAGCTTATCTGAACTGAAACACTTTTAACTTTTAAGATGGGCTTGGCTTGTTACTAACGCTAGAGTGCATGAATGCTTAAGTAGGTTTTTCACTTGACTGATTTTGTAGGGATATTTTACAGTAGGTACTGTTGTATGTTAAGGGCTAGTACTCTTTTTATGGATGTATCTTGCTATTCACCTGACCTCTTTGTATATACAAACATCCCAGACAGGCCGCACGGTTCAAAAGAAAGGAGACGAAATATTTGCCATGCAATACATCTAGTCGCTGACATCAATTACGAGACATGTAACATACAACATTATACTTGCGTCTGTGGTCCATCAGATGTTTTACCGCAACACACAGAAGGTGTGTTCAATTCCAAAGTGAGCAGATGTTATCGAGTATCTCCATCTGTCTGTTGGCCTTTCGTGGCCCTTTCCCCCAATTTACGTTGGCCCTGACTAGCTGGGTGGTAGAAGCCTGTCGATCTAGATTGTGTCAAGGAAGACGTACAGAATCTACTATTACTTTTTTTTGACAGCACAACGATAATAGTCAACTATAATAAAGCTGCCTTTGAGTGCATCGCAAATTAAAAAGAACTAATATTTCTCCAATCTGGAAATCTAATTGTTTTGTTTTAATTGACAGAAAAAATAATTTCTCGGAACAGGTAGGATTTGGAAGTTGGCAGGGGGTTCATAAAGGTACAAGTAGCATGTTCCCCGGTGTGACGTTCATAACAACCGTGGAAAATTGATATCACTCTGCTTAGTTGTTGTTGAGGTTTGTTTTTTTCACCTTGCTTTAAAACCACCTCGTATTTATTGCCAGTGGTATGCGTGATGGTGTGCGTAATGAGCTTCTTCTACAGCAAGAAGCTTTTTTTCATGACCGGCGAACATACGCAATCTACGGCATCTGAAAAACTTACAGATTATTGTCCTTATTGGTTCGCAACATCGCCCTAAGCTTGGCCAAACATGAACACCCCGGCTGTCTACATCGGAAGTTTTGTAACTTGAACTGGCCCCGGAAATTTGGATTGGTCAGAAAATGAATAATAAAATTACTAGAACAGTTGATTATCATAGTGAGATTTCTGAAGTCGTCGAGTACATAGCTTAAATACCTTTCGATCACAAAAAAAATTTCGAAATTGCTGATGACGTATGCGCTCCCTGCCGTGACGGAGTACACGACACAGAAGGTCAACAGAGTGCGAGTGGTGCGTGATGTCACGTTGTCCTTTTTGCTCTGAGGCACTGCAGCAAGTTTTTGCCTTTGTGTCACGGACAACACGACCTTGACCCCGATCACCACGGAGCCGATTGTGACCACCAAGATTGAGAAGCTGCCCGTTGTGTTGTTGATGATGTAATCGTTGAGAACTGTGATGGCCATGTCCTTGTATCCTGTCTGAATGAGGATGGCGAAGCTCATGTTGATAGAAGCGAAGTGGTACATCCCCAACCAGTACCATCGACAATAGAATCCCACGGTGAAGCTGAAGGAAACCACCCCGATCAGGAGACAAGCGGTCCACATTCGCTTCGGAGTTATAATGAGGTGAACGTGAAGAGGAAAAAATATTGCTACGAGCCTTTCGGCCACCATTAACGTGGGTAAGAATAAGGAGGTGCCGGTGAAGATCTGATTTAGACAGCTATAACCAAGCCAGGCGCCAAAAAAGGTTAAGCCCTCCAGAGGTTCAGGGAAGAGTTTTTTACTTCCGTATCTGAAAACCAACGACGGAATATTGTTTTTGGCCACCAGGAACGCCGCATCCGAAATAGCTGTACAGAAAAGGAGAACATTGGACGATTTCTTCAGGCCGGAGCGGAAGAGAAACACAGCGCTGTACACATTGCCAACGATGCCGAAGAGGCTGAGGTAAGGATTAACGAACAGTTCAATAGCCATGCTGATGGTCTTTGAGAGCTCTTTGTCCATCGAGAGCACTATACTTTGTCCAGGTGTATCCCCTCGTCTGTCACTGTCCAAGGGGGTGGTCAGATTCAGGGACGGTCGGCTAGTGATGTTCAGGACACCCTCCATGACTGTTGACTATTGTAAAGGATGGTCTTTGATGCTCCACACTGCTTTTTCCTTGTAATCTGATGAAAAAAGTACTGGGGAAATTAGATTTAATTTTTAAAAACATACGATGAGGTATAACTGGAGATGTGTAGAGCGAAGAGCTAGCGTTTCTTCACCTCTTGTTAAAGTACTCTGAAAGTGAAAGTAGATGGAACAGTGCATACCATTACATAAGCATAGATCAATCTATCTATCTATCTATCTATCTATCTATCTATCTATCTATCTATCTATCTATCTATAAAACATCAATACGAAAATAAGAGGGAAACAAAAAGCGTTAAAGAGAGAGAGAAAGAGAGAGAGAGAGAAAAAGAGAGAGAGAAAGAGAGAGAGAGAGAAAGAGAGAGAGAGAAAAAGAGAGAGAAGAAGAGAGAGAGAGAAAAAGAGAGAGAAAAAGAGAGAGAAAAAGAGAGAGAGAAAGAGAGAGAGAGAAAGAGAGAGAGAGAGAGAGAGAGAGAGAGAGAGAGAGAGAGAGAGAGAGAGAAAAGGGGTGTAATACGGGTGGAGGTAGGAGCAGAAGCTGGAACCAGGTAGGATATTAATGCTAACAGGACGAGGTATAGCAGACACATTCTATATGTCCAATATCGATGTCAGAGCAGAATGAACAAAAATTAAAACGGAGTAAGCAAAAAGAAAAACGGAACACTGAAATGCAAAATATAATTTTATACAAATCGACATGATTTTTGCTACTGGTTTAGCTGTAAGAAAAATCAAATTGATTCGAGACAAAATACAACAACATCGAAGCGATGCAGAAGAATAAGAGCGCAGCAATATTTGGGGTTGTGAAACCGTAGCTTTGTTTTTAAATTTAGGTATTTTTACGCCCGTATCGACACGATTGAGATAATTTAGAGGGAGGGCTTCTGACCTCGCATGTCAGGGCTAACCTGGGACGAGAAGGACACAACATCTCAGTAGAATTATAGGGATAATCCATAAAAAAAAAATCTCCCCACTCGGGAATCAAACTCGGGGACCTTGCGGGCGACAGCGAAGCGACTTATCGCTTCAATACAAACGCCGGCGATTGCTGTGCTAACAGGATAACGAAAAAGAAAAAATGTACACATCATAGACTTTACTTCCAACCTCGTAAAATAAGCATGTAGCTTCATCTATTCGGTGTGGATGTATTTCGACGTTCTTTTTTGTTTCATCACAATAGAATTAGGGGCACATCCAAATCCTTAAATCGTAGAAACAAACATTGTGACAATGTCTATGATGTGTACATTTTTTTCAATGATTGTCCAGTGCATCCGACAATTTTTATTCAATTTGTTCTTTTTTTTTTGGGGGGGGGGGGGGGGTTGGGAGGGGTGCGGGCAGTAAAATCATTTCTGTCTGAATTTTACTGAAGAACATAGATGAAGGGTACGAACTATTAACATCTTGCAGTTTCCAAGGACACTTATGCTTTGGAAGTCACCAAACTTTGGCAGCCATTTTTTCGCTAATTTTACCTCTGACGCCTGCTTCAATTACAAATACGTTGACTTCTATTCAAGAGTGATGGAGAGAACGGTATTTTTCATCGAAAGCAAGACGTATAAACACGCTTTAAGATGATACCAATAACGCCATATTATGCCCCAAAAATTGATGTGCGCCTGATTCTTCTGTGCCGTGACAATAATCGCTACCTTAGAATTGCAAAGTTCTATCTGCTCAGTATCAAATTTTGAGAGATATTACTCAAAAAATATGTTGAGTTTCTCATGTCAAGATTTGGGAAAATGGGGAAATGGTATGGGTTTAACTCCCCTATCAACACTATTGGGTTATTTAAGAGGCAGGGCCTCCCAGTTTAACGTCCGTCTCCGAAAGGACCGAGCCAAGTGGGAAATTCCTGTAATGTGCCTTTCCCAAGGACACAACGTCGGACCGAGCTGAGACTCGAACCCCCGAACCCGCAATCTCACGATTACGAGTCCGGTAACCTAACAACTAGACTACCGACGCCACTATGTCAAGCGTTTTGGAATACAATGTTTTGAATATCTTGATAACGACTTTGGAGAAGGTTACAATTTTGATACAGCAGATAGAACATTTCGGTCAGACCTCATGGTCTGAGTAACCCAAAACGGCCAAAAATGTCAGATAGGACTTTGTAATTTTAAGGTAGCGAAACGCTTTGTTGTGTATTTTGTTACGTTTGGTGAATTAGATGATTTTATGTCGTTTTGTGTTTGATATGTTATACATTATTAGACCTATTATAATTATAAGTAGCACAAGCGCGCTCTTCGGTTTGGTAGAAAAATTCGCGGGGAAAAAATAATGCCGACAACTGTTTCATTTTACTCCATTCCTCAGTTCACAATGACTCTTTCTAAAAGAAATAAAAACAGTTGGAAATATCAATTTTCTGGGAGTTTTTTACTTCAAAATTTAAAATTCGTTGTGTGTTGATTTTAAATATCTTTCTGAGAGTGTTATTATTTATTCAAGAAATTTTGCGACATCGAGTTCCTTGCGAGGAAAGTGTGCCATTTCAGGTTGGTAGTCGCCTAGCTATTATTGCCACTGTTCCGCAGGGAGTTTCAAAACAACGGTGCCATTCCTGAAAAGGACGCTTGTTGCCCGTTATTTTGGTATTTAGAAATCTACGAGTTCTGGACAAGGTGACGCAAGCTGACAAGATAATCATTTTATGCCGAAAAAATAGACGTTTTTAGCTCTTTGATTACATATTTCTATGTACCAACAAAAAGCCAGTTTATCCTACATTTAAGAGCAAATGTTGCTATTCTAGTGCATTGTTTACCCCAACTTCAAGGGGAGTGACCCACTGCTTCTCGTCAATGATAGAATAGAGGGCTCGTTCTCAGAGCCGAGCGAAAATGACGACTAACTGAAACATCAAAGCCCACTCTCTACTCGCCCCCACAGCCCCCTCTCTCTAAACTATCTGTATCTTATGGGTAATGAATCTGGTTAAAACATTACAAATTAAATCGCTCTTGAATCGGAGTATAAAGAGAAATAACTCTATCGTGGGAACAGCCTTTTGTGGACCCCCCCTCCCTATAAACAACAACAACAACAACAGCAATAACAATAACAAGAACCACCACCACCACCACCACAACAACAACAACAAAACAACCCAAAAAGCATGGGGATTGACATTAATATCTGTCTTAATGGCTGTTTAAGCGTTTCATCGTATCAGAGTCTACGGACTAGTACATCCACTGTGGAAACAGCCTTTTGGACCAAAAATTAAAAAACCCCCACGAAGATTGCCTTGGTTTAACACTGCTCAAACATCACAGTCGTTGTCTTAATGAATGGCTGTCTTAGCTCTTCATTGTTATAGAACTCCAAAAGTTCATAGTCATTTCTCATTATTTTCACAGTGAACGATGTTCCCCAGTTGACGGTCAGCCAATAGAAGTAGTGATGGAATATGACTGGTCTCTCTGAAAGGGCGCAGAAAGAGAATAATTTCCAGAACAGTTCTGTGGTAGTCACATATTGCCAGTACTAGTTTTTCATTACGCTTGCCTCTACCACAGAACTAGGTGACGTGAGTCGCACAGATGTCTTTTTTATTATGAATGCTGTTAATTACTCCATTTAGAAAATTCCTTCTATGAATATAATGTGCTACAATCCTCTCTGTTACAACCACCATTTATTTAAATCCCATGAACTTCTTTCTCTCTTTTTTTTTGTGGTAATCTATAATGAAAATTGTTGTGTGTCATAGCTAATGTTTTTAAAAAAAAATACGTTCCTTCCTTCTAACTCTCACTTAACAATGCTGTACAAAAGATAAAAACGTCTTAGAGCTTGCATAATGGTTTACTTTCAATGCAATGGGCAAAGCTCCTACCCCACATTTTGGATCATGCTGTAGCTTAATAATTGCATACATTTATAATACATCATGTACTTTTTATATAGTGTCAGGTTACAATGATTCCTACACAATCAGTAAACTATGCTTTCCCCCTCCCAACAGAGGATGATACCTACAAATCTTATCAAAAACACTTAATAATGACAGGTAAAGGGCAGGGAAATGAAGTGTTCTAGGTTTGACATCAGTCCAATTACAGGATCATCATGCAGCAGCTGTTCTTTGTGATGGAGAAAGCTGGCTAACGTCACATTAGCAGAGGTAATTATTGTATAATGTAGAAAACGCCACTGTTTTCAATGCTTCCTCAATTTCTGAAAGGAAATCAGTACTAAATAGAGCAGCTTTTTTTTAGGTGTAGGAGACAAAGTACTGTGATATATTTGTAGTTTTATCTTTTTGTCTGCTTGTCTGACGTGTTTTACGTTCATCCCATTTAGTACCAGAAATGTATTCTACAATTTCATTTAGCTTATCCACAAACTCATATGACAATAAAAGATAATGAAATATATATATATATATATATATATATATACATATATACATAATTATATAAATAATATACATACATGTACATAATATATTTATCTATAAAACATGTATATAATTATATAATATGTATATATATAAATATACATTATATACATAAATCTGCATATATATATATATATATATATATATATATATATATATATATTATATACATATATATATATACATATATTTATAAATGAGTGTGAACATGTGTGCGTGTGTGTGTGTGTGTGTGTGTGTGTGTGTGTGTGTGTGTGTGTGTGTGTGTGCGCGCGCGCGTGTGCGTGTGTGTGTGTGCTGTTTTGAATTACTAAGACCTTGAGGTCAAGAAGCAAATGCTCTATCTGCTTTATCAAAATCGTAAGAGTATTTGGAGTGGTTATCATAATAATATTTGAAAGAATTGCATTCGAAAAGGCTTGACATACCGTGAAACTCAATAAAAAATGTGACGTCCAATCTCTCAAAACTTGGTGTTGAGCAGGTAGAACTTCGTATTCTGAGATAGCGAATAAGCAAAGAAAGAACATTTGAGAAGTTTTTTTCTATTGTGTGAGTAAGATGTCTGTGGTGTAGTGGTTACTAGTAGGCACTTCGCTGTCACACGTAAGGGACTCAGTGGGGATCATTTTTATTGAATATCTCGGTCGTTCTGCTGGGATGTTGTATCCCCCTCCGCCCGGTTTGGTCGTGGAAGGGTAGAAAGCCAGTTTCTTAAATTGCGGTACCCTAAGATATGTCGACGTGTATAAAATTACCTTATAAGAAAAGTATTAATGTAGCTCTGATCCCCAAAATAGGAGAGGTTGAAGGCAGAGCACATTCGACAAAGACAAGACTTCCTGAAAAAGGAAAAAAAATAGGTTACGGCGCGGTGGAATCAAGTGCTAGTCAAGATTTTAGCATTTGGAGTTATGTTATCATTATAAAGTTTTTAAAGTTGTCCTACTTTTAAACCTAAACCCCCGACAAAGAAACAAATCAGGCGCTCTTTGAGCTTATAATAGTTATTGTTATCAACTTAATGCTTGTTTATTTGTCTCGGTTTTGACTTTTTAAAATGCCAATCTTGAATAAAAGTCGAGATTTAAGGAGGTGGGGGTCGAGAAAATGAATACCAAAACTTGATAACCCTGAGTGTCCCTAGAAACTGACATTTACCCTTTTTTTTTGCACCGTTTTTCAATCAAATCCATACAGAAATGTGTTTTTTAATGGACATAGATCTAAAAGGTGTTGAGAAAACAAAATCAATAAAAATTGCCCAATAGGCTGAAAATATCGATTTCTTCGATTTCATTATTTTGACGAGCGCACGATTTGTTCCTGGGTAAATGTTTTTTCTTATTATGTTTGTCCACTACTATATAAAGCAGTGCTTGTCAACCTTTTTATAACCAACGCATACTTTGGCTTTTTTCTTACCTCCTACATTCATGTATTTCCATGCAGGTCATAGAATAACACCTGCCTCTGCCCTGGTGATTCCCACCGCCTAAAGAAATTACTGTGTCCAGGTTGGCAAGCACTGATTTAAAGGAAAGTTAATTAAATTATGTGTCATAGGTTGCTCTCTAGTAACTTTTGACGGTGTATCAAATTGTCATACAGATGAGCATCTCGTATATCATCTGAATAATCACAAAAAGGAAGTTTCTCTTGAATATTAAGGTTATTGCGTAATTTATAGTGGTAGATCATGATTTGTCTCACGAGTCAAATTGCCAAGTTTTAATCACGAATTTTAAAGAAAGATTACACCTGGAAATTTTATAACGTATCCACTGATTTCAGAAAATCTCTTTACCATGGTGTTGTTAGACGAGAGATAACGAGATTTTTATATTTCACGTGTGATATATGAGGATGTACTTCGCTGAAAGCGCAGTGCTAAAACAACTCCATGCATGTTGAAAAAATAATGTTTTACTTCACCCGATTACTTACTTCTGTAGTCCCCAATGTACACGGTGGCCACAATTTCAGCTGATACCGTCATTCAGAGAATGATGCTAGCTGTGAGAGTCGCAGTGGAACTCTGCAAGTCGACGTGTCGTCATTGGCGTAGAAACTTCCTCATTGGAGGGAACAAACTGAACGTAACAGTAATAGTAATGTATTTGACAAACTTGTAGTGAAAAAAAATTAAACTGGATTTTTGCCTGCGTGTGTGCGTGCGTGAATTATGCTGTCTTATAACAAGAAATCTCTCGGTTTGTGAGTTTTAGCTACATCTAAAGCGAGGATATTTAAAGAGACGAGGCAGGCGATGTTTTCGCTCTAGTGAGAGGGGAGTAACTCGAGAAGAAAACGACAACGACTTACTGCTTTCGTCATTGATAATTTATCTACTTTAGAAAGTTAGCCAAAGACATTTGCTTGTACAATCACGCGGTCACAAGCCCTTTACAATAAAACACAAAGGTCACAAGAGCTAATGTCTCTAGAGAGACGCCTCGGACACAATAGAATGTCGAGCAGTTCAGCCTGCTTAACTGGCACAAATGATAATGTTTGTGTAGTTATCATCAGTCTAGTGTTAGAGCAGTCAGTAGAAAGCGTCGGTTTCATGTATCGTTTGGTGACACCATAATACCGCCCACTGGCGCTATCGGGGGAGACGTTTTATGACCGTCGTTCTACTTAGAACTGCAATGAAACGGCTGACTCTGAGCACATGGATCTGTTAATGATAAAAACGTTCCTACTTTGAAAGCTGGGAGAACATTTCATTCCGACCAGGGGTTGACATCAATGTAATGTCATCGTTGCTGGCAGCAATAATATCTCGAAATTATCAACACTGAAGAAAATGATTTTGTTGTAATGTTAAAAGTAATCCGCAAGTTCTTCGCGTACATCAATAATGATTGACTTTACATAGAAAACATTTTACCTGCCCGAGGACAATAAACACTTATTTGCAAAAGCATCTAAACAGTCATATAATGTGTGTTCGAATCTATACATCTTGACATAGCGATTTGAGAGGGGCAATTTGTTATACACTCTCTGCCAAACGATGAGGGAAGGGGAATAGACTAGGCGATAAAAACCTTTCGTCCGGCTCGTTAGCACAGGGATATAGAAAATGTCTACGAGGGTATCGACATACTTGACAAACATTAACCAGGGAACAAACCAAGCAAACATGGTAATAGAGAAATGTGATTTGGAGAAGATAAAACGCAAGAAACGTTGAAAGGGATGCTGTTCGAATGTTTTTGTTTCGGTGAGGGTGGGGCGGGGGTGATAGAGATGGGGATGTGAGTAGAATTTTTAAAAATGTATCTCTGTTATTCCAACAACATAATCATGCTGTTGCTTGCCGGTTCTTTCAAATATGTTATTTTTGTCTGAAAAGATTTCCAGAAGAATTATCCAACTTAAAAAAAAAAAATTACGATTCTTGAGAACCCAAAATGGGCACCTGTAGATTCATAGAGCTGACAACATTCTCAGTTTACTGTCACAGACTTTTTATAAACTTAGCAACTTCATTGGAGTATGAGAAGAATAGGTTGTTGTGAAACAGGTTATTTCTGTGACAGAAATAGGGAACAAGAAAAGAGAAATATGAGGGTAAATTTACAAAAAATACATATGATAGCTATACTTTTTTATCCTAGATTTTTATTACGCTTTAAAACAGAAAGTAAGAGAAGAAATGATTATTATACTCAGTAAGCAAACATGTTTTTTATTCTTTAAACTTTCATCATAGAAGAATTCTTTCGAAAAAAAAAAAACATTGAGAAAGGGAGGGGGGATAGGAGGGAGGGATGAATTCGCCATTTGATCTTCTGTGGCACTGACTTAGTTCATAGCCAACTGTTCTACTGTTGGAGACAAACTCTTGGTTTTGTATATAAGGACCTCACCACCACGCGCGAGTGTCTCTTTGAATTTTAAACTCTTTAACTCTAATATACATGTATCCAGTCAGTAGACTAAAGGCCTTATTGTGGTACATTTCGAACAATCGTAATATACACATCAGACACAAGACAAACATGTTGCGACCTGCCTTTTTAAGTTTAGGTCATGAAAACATGAAACATGAACTGAGAAAGAAAACAAAAACAACTCGGTACAAACAAAAAAGTAGTGATTTTTATAAAAATAGTGCATCTTGAAATGTTGTTCTGAGACCAAAATGCTCGTCCTTGATGAATTAACTCGTTCAATGCCATGTACCGATACACAGCTGCCTCCCATGATTCGTCACTACACTGTGCGTGTACAAGGTCATGATCAAGTGCAACATCTGCTACAGACACCGGTGATCAGGATTCTCCATTCATTCCTTTGGTCCTTTCCTCTGATGCTCTAAAAATAACCTCCTGATCTGTTCCCCTCCCCTATCTATTTAAGCTCTCCAACAAGTTGCTCTGCCTTTACCCTTCCTTCGTTTGCCTGTAACTTTGCCAGTGAGAGCTAGATTTTCAAGGCCCACAATATATCTATTCAAGTGTCCCAGAAACTGGATTTGTCTCTTCCTATTTCTTTTTAGCAGTGAGCTGCCCACGCGGGCTTTTTCACGTACTATTTTATTTGATTTCTTTTCCTTCCAAGAAATTCCCTGCAGTCTCTCAGGAAACCACATTTCTGTTGCTTCTATTTTACTTCTATATTCTTCAGCGATTACTTAAATTGTATTATAATGTATGTGGACATATTGTGGAACAGACGAAGTTACAAAACTGCACCAAGCATGATGTTATCCTGAACACCGTAGAGTGTACAGAAACATTTTGTACCAATACCTTAAGCCTCAATCAAAACACATCGATGTTAGCAGCTATTTTTATACTGGTGTTATAGTGGCCCTTTTCTTTTAACAAAATGTTTTTCTTCATCTGGTACCTTATTGAAACGTGGCGTCGGTTGTCTAGTGGCTCGGCTACCAGACTCGAGGTCCAGAGACTGCGGGCTGGTTCGGGGTTCGAGGCTCAGCTCAGCTCAGCTCAGCTCGATGTTATGTCCTTAGGAAAGACATTTTACACGAATTCTTCCTTTTGGATCGGTGCTATCGAAGACGGCCGTTTATTCGGAGGTGCCGCCTCTGTAATAAACTAGCAGTGTTACAAGTGCTACGGGCGTTAAACATTTACCGTTTCAATTTTCGCTCATTAAAATTCATTCTATTGCGTCACATTGTTTTATCATGTTAAAGGCGACCTTATAAGCTGATCAGTTTGTTGTATAATGAAGTTAGAGTTTGAATCCCCTTGAGAAGACTGTCTGATAATTCAAGTTACACATCCTTCGATATGTAACACCCGTCTCCGATATAACAGTGAACGTTTCATAAAAAAGACCAAAACAACAACAAACAAAAAGACAAACAACAACAACAACAACAACAACAACAACAACAACAATAACAACAGCAAAGCATGTTAAATACTTGAACAACCCCAAAAAGAACCCTGTTCGACCCAGAATAACACTGTATGTAATCCAGCACGATATCAACTGGGCACTTTGCTCAATCCCATCCAAAAGGGCCGATCATAGAGAGAGATAGCGGAGACTTTACGTGAGATATCTAACGTGTTTTGTTTTTTCGTACGAGATTATCATTAATTTCACCCTCGTCTGTGTTGTTGAGGATGGGCCCCTGGTTGTTGCTCGCAAAAGACAAGAGCTTGGTCTTCAAGTGGGGAACTTATTGTAAGAAGTAACACCTCCTGCCTGCTGGTGTACTGCACGCCATTCAGCCAGAATTGGCCCTGACAAGTACACTCAAAGCAGCATGCATCTAAAGTTCTAAATGTGAGGCAGCCTGGTGGAATCAGGCTCTCGTCAATTTTTGGGTATGTAGAGTTATTCGTATCGTCTTAAAGCTTGTTCAATTGTAATTATTTGTATGAAAAAAATATCCATTTATCTTGAATACAAGTCGAGATATTTGCGAAAGAAGGATGTGGAGGTCACTTGTTTTCAGAGGTAAAATTAGTGAGAAAATGGCAGCTAAAGATGAGTTATTTCCTTAGCTTAAAAGTCCGTGGTAACTGAACATTTACTTTTTTGTGCCTTTAATCAACGTTTTTCCGAAAACTTTCCACAGAAATGAGTTCTGTAATAGGCTTGAAAGGTGTTGAGCCAAAAAACAAAAATTTGATAAAAATTCATAAACCAGCGGAATCATGCAAGTTTCTTCACTTTGACTATTTTGACGAGAGTCTGATTCCACCATGCTGCCTTACAAATTGTGTCGTAAGGAAAATAGTTAAGTTTGAATACAGTTCTACGGCGCTCGCAACTGCATGAGGTCAATAAATGAGCGCATTGGGAAATTATGACCACCGTTCTGCCTATATATACAAAAAAGTACATACATATACATTTATTGTTCACGATAAAACATAACTATTCTGAACGTTCGAGGAAGCAGTACACTTTCTATAAGATCCAAACTGTGTCAATGGTGGCGTAAATAGTTTATATTCAGTCAGTCAGTTCTGACTTCCCATTGTGCACGCCAGTGATAGGCTGGGACAGTAAATCATTGGAAATGAACGTTGCAGGCAAATTGCTGCCTGGAGGACACGCGCACAATGATAATAATGGTAACAATAATAATGACACTAATGATACAAAGTCATACTACTACTACTACTACTACTACTACTACTACTACTACTACTACTACTACTACTACTACTACTACTACTACTACTACTACTACTACTACC